TTTTCATTACATAGGTACCTGTATTTGAACTTTGTATTTGTCATAGTATTTAATTTTAACACTTTAATAATTATAGTTTCAAAGTGAAGCCAAGGTCATCACGTGTCGGTTATCATCCACCTGTTTCGAAGATATTGCGGGTGCTAAGAGCAATTGCGGTGGGTTTTTTTTAATTGACACTTGCTAGCTGGATGTATACTGTCTCCATGGTCACAGTATACCTGAGTATATTCTCCCCCTACATTCGATGCTCCTTAAGTTACATGTACCTCGTCTGGGCACGTTATCAATGAGAAATTCAATTATTATCTTTCTTTTTTTTGAATTTGGAAACATCATAGTTCTTTGGTACGTTCCATGAAGAGTACATATTCATGTAATTTGTTGCCATCTGAATGCTGAAAATCAGTAAAATAGCTTTACGAGAGAGAGAGAGAGAGAGAGAGAGAGAACACTGTATATCATTTTAAATTAAAATCGCTACAACCGGCCCATAGAAAACAATTCGAGTACGGAGAGGGTGGGCGGCTCATCGAAATAAAACAATAAAAAAACATCGGGCGTTATTATCTTAATTTCATCTACTTATTCATGTGAGTTTACAGTTATTGAATTCATGTTTTGTGTGTTTTCTTTCTTATTTTTATTCATTTTTAAACATTTAGAATTTTGTTTGTCAACATGCCGCTCCAGCATGTACATGTATGTAGTGGGGGGGGGGGGGGGGGGGGGGGGGAGGGGAGGGGATCATATACCAGTAATTAAGGAACACAAACTATTCAAATGATCATTTACATGTTATTTGAAAACAACTTAAAAAAATAATATATTCTTATCACTGGACCAGTTATTAGTTTCGGTTTGTTTGTGTGTTTTGGTTTTTTGATTGTTGTTGTTTTTTTTTATTTCTTCCGTTAAACTCGCCTTATAAAACAATGATTTATAGCATGGAAGTAAATTATAAAATTAATGATCTGTAAAACGAAACTCAAGTTACACTGTATGAGAATATTTAGTGATTATCACGACCTACATAAATTATACATGTAATTGACGACAACCTAGCTTAATGTATACTGCTAAATATGGAAACTTAGCATTTTACATGTACAGTATGTCTCAGCTATTTCATAGATAAGATCATAATTCAGTTGTTTGTCTTTCAAACATTTTAATTACGATTTAGCAATTGCAATTAAGTTGGAAGTTCCAACTTATTTTAAAACGCATGAATAATGTAAACAAATGAATTAGAAAGCTTTTTTTTTTTCTTAAGATACTCTTATCAATTTCCCTCCATCTGATACAACGAAAATAAATTTAACACCTTTTTCTTCTTTTTCTCTCGAGATATACTTAGCTTGTAAGTTAAGAAAAATAAAAGTGATAATTCTACGTCGAATGTACGGTGTAATTCTTGAACATTTATCAACGTTCTCCATATTGTCACTTACATATACATGTTTCGATCGCCTTAAAAACAGTAATGATCGATTTCACTACTGTATTTGGAATATACAAGGGGCGGGGCTTACTGGCGGCAAGATTAAAGCGGGGTCCGCTTCATGCTTGAATGCGTAAAGCGAACCCGGAAAGCGAACGCCGGGTTCGCTCTAGCGGACCCAGATCTGACCCCGAGCGAACCCGGAGCGCACCCAGAGCGGTCCCAAATTTTCTGAAAGCGGACCCGCAGCGGACCCCGAGCAAACCCAGGAAGCGAACTCAGGGTGCGCTTGGGGTTCGCTCTGGTGTTAGGTTGTGTCCGGTCGGTACTGTATTTCCCTTTTACAACATAAATATTAATTAGTCAGGAGGACATTTCCTATTATCCAGTCTGAAATAATATGCAATTATAATAGATCTACCAGATTCTACCTATATCAGAAATGCTTTTTACATTTTAATTTATTGTATTTTGTACAATTGTATAACACAGTCAAACAATTAGAGATTGCTAAGATGAATGTTTAAAAAGTATCAAACACTGCATGTTTTATGCATCTGATATTATAATCAGTGTAACTAAAAATTAATACATGTACCTTATTTACATACACATGTACAATGTTACCATGCAATTATAGCGAGCGCAGCGAGCGGCGCGAAGCGCCGCTCGCGAAGCGAGCTCAATAGACTAACGTGTAAGAACAGAGAAAATTCGGAATGAAATCTGTACATACGTCAGGCAAATTTTCTGGTGCAACATTCCCAGAATTCCTTCGCTACCAGGGTTCCATGCGAAATTCTTACAAAACATTCAAAAGACCAAGGATAATAATTCATTACCGAGAGATACGTTTACTTTTCTATCTTTGCATGGGGCTTAAAAGAAATAAAAAATAATTACATCCACTCTACAACGTATTTCATTTATTATTGCACAAGATCTTTAGTCTCGTTCAACCAGACGCTCGGTTGTCTCCGTAAATTCCGACGTCATGTGACGTCACAGTCTTGACTGTGTCTCGTGCGGTTTGACGTTTGAAGAGGCGGATCCATCAACATTAGAAGTGTAAGCTGTGTATAGGTTTTTGATGGTACATGTACAACTGCGCTCGCCCCAACGGTCACATCGTAAAACATATTACTCACTGACTAGTAAGATTAAATCTTGTATATCCCAGGGCATATAAATCATACTGTTCAACAAGATTCAACACTGAAGGAAAAAGTCAAAAGTACAGCAAATATTCACTCCATCCAAACACACAAGGCCACAAATTAATGAATATATTATACTTACAAATTGTTAAATGTCTACATCATTATTTCAATAAATCTAAAGCTTTGTGGCCAGCAGGCTCCCTCTTCATGATGCTTTATAGCCTTTGTCCAACAATACATGGCAGCCAAAAATTGAATTTTGGCGGTCTGTTGTTGGGTTCCTGTTGTTAATATTTGTTGATCATTGAGCCCAACATTTAAATTTCTCTTGAACCCAATCAAATTGTACAAGGAAATTAACTGCTTACAAAACTGCTTAGGAAAACTGTCTTCTCCTCAAGCATAGGCAGTTAAGATATAACTGCTAGGGAAACTGATTACTGCTTAAAAACTGCTAAGGAAAACTGTTTACTCCAAAGGCACTAGCAGTTACAAAAGAACAGAAAAAGCCAAACTGCCTGAAACTGTTTGAAAACTGCTTAAAATTTGCCTAATAACTAGGCAGTTTACTTTTTCCATGGGTAATTGCATATTGTTAAGTTCCTCTTTTGATCCAGGTTATTAACCCATCATCAGGTTCTTACCTATAGGAGGCCCTCTATGCTCCTTACAACTTATAAAGTACAAACTTAAGTACCTCCAATTAGGTGGGACTGATGAATACTCATGCAGACAACAACTAATCGAAACCCAGGATTCTGCAGACAACAGTCTCAAATTGAATTCAAATATCCATGAACTTCATCTCACTGTAAGTCATCTGTAATGTTCTGATGTGATCATTCTGCAAGCACTACCACTATATATAAATTCACATTAAACATTTTGCATCCTAATTGATTTAATGGATGAACACAAGATAAAAATCTTTTTAAGATGAATTTAACAGTAACATTGCCCAGCGCAAGGTCTTTTCCTTCCTGAATACCTCTGTTGCAATGTGATAACATTATATGTGCAGAGCTGACTTTTTTCACATTTTATAAAGTGCATTCTGGTCTTGAACATGTCAATGTCACCATGATAAAATATACTCTTGATATTTTTATGCAACTATTCAAAAAAAAAAATGTATCTTAATAAAGAACTTATTGAAGGAGTTAAGTTGAATTTTGATGCAGCCCGGTTTCAATAAAGATTTTTTTTTCTTCAATTTTTAAGGACACCTTTTACTGTGAGGTAGGATGTACTGAACAAATTAACACGTCCTGTTAAGTCTGACCAGTCAATACCACTATCCCCTGATGGGCTGTACCATATCATCCTGTGTACAGCTAGAGATTTTAATCTTTTTTTTTGGCATGTTTAATTCAATTTTCCCCAAAAGAATACCATCTCCAAAAACTATCTGCAGTCATCTTTTAGGAGTTCAATGTAAACATTTTACAGGGCATCAAAGATCAAAAACAAAGGACAGATTCTGATGGTAATGTTCTATGCATGATTTATCTCCCTTTCCTATGAATGCCATACTCCTACACATGGTGACCACAGCACCATGCATCTACAGTATTAGCTACACATTTTTTTTTCCTTCAAGGGTGAACCATTATATCACCAACAATGTAACAACTAAACTTTCCCTTTGAAGACAGTGATAATTATATAATGGAATTGAAATAATTTGAACAAATTAGGTTAATTAAATGAATCCCACTGCATTCAAAACTTACATCCCTAACTCTCTTTTAGCATGGAATTCTAATTTTTTATATTTTATATCCATGACTTTTTACCCCTAGCTACTAGTCTTCATTTAACTATATCTAAACATTCTCACATGACTACTCCCAACATGCATTCATTTCATTCAATAGTATTTGATAACCGTACAGTGAACTGGCAGAATAAACCCAAAATCGGTCAGAACAGGGGAGAAAACTCTACACCTTTTTTTATATCAGGGAATTATCAGAACACAGATGCTTATAAATCCTATCAGAGAAATGCTTAAACTTTTATATTGAGGTGTAGATGGAGAGAACTCTTACCTGACATTTATTCCCCATGGAGAATGTCACCGACTTGTAGCCCTCCCTATAAAGGGAGAGAACTCTTACCTGACATTTATTCCCCATGGAAAATGTCACCGACTTGTAGCACTCCCTATAAAGGGAGAGAACTCTTACCTGACATTTATCCCCCAAGGAGAATGTCACCGACTTGTAGCGTTTCCTATACAGGGAGAGAACCCTTACCTAGTATCTATCCCCCATGGAGAATGTCACCAACTTGTAGCGTTCCCTATACAGGGAGAGAATTCTTACCTGGCATTTATTCCCCATGGAGAATGTCACTGACTTGTAGCATTCTCTATACAGGGTGAGAATTCTTACCTGGCATTTATCCCCCGCGGAGAATGTCACAGACTTGTAGCGCTCCCTGTGAATGGCCTCTACAATACGACCGATACATATATATTAATTAAAGAAATCTTTACATCTCTATCACCTCAATGTTAACATCTCGTGTATCAACCTTACTCTCTCTGCAGGCTTTCATAGCTATATATATCTCAAAATTCCAATTCACTTGACAACATGGAACATTCTACTTTTTTTTAAATCTGTGGATTTGAATTAACAAGTATTGGGCAAAACAAATCAGATAATTGAAAGTTAATCTGTTTTATGTTTTCTTTGTTAAGATAACAGGTGCTTGAGTTTTTATAAAAACCCCCTTTAATACAAGGTATTGACTGACACACTGTCAACAGTGACCATAATACCATGTCAAACATCAATATTGTGACAGAAAACAATCAACACTCCAAACAATGGAGACATTCCACTCTCCAAGAAGTTTCTACTTTTATTCACCAATATCACTTCCTCAACATTTCATATTACATCTCAGCTAGAAATCAATAAAAAATGGCTGTTTGGAGACCTTTTGGAATAATGGCCAGCAGTAATGACCATGTAGAAGAACCAGTCTTCATTATAATTAAAACTCCTTCATTTCTTCCAATTCCAAAAATAACTTTTAAAAGTAATACAAATCATTCTTCAGTGTAGTTTACTTTGGTATTAAATCACATCTATTGAGTTTCATTTTTAATTAATCAGTTACTCTTTTTCATACTGAATTTTTTTAGTTACAAAATTACCAACCTGAAGAATTACAGAACTCAATCAAAAATTTTAGCCAAGGATTCGGCATATTAACACATGTATTATACTTGAGTTCACATGTACATTGTCAACATAAGGTTAATTAACAATGAAAATTAAAAGAAAATCAAAATCCCAAGAAACATGTACAATAATCACATAATCCAGCTCTTCTACTTAAAGACATTCCATAAAATTTTCAATAAATTAGATGATTTTTAACAAAAATTTTCTCCAAATTGTCAAAAATGTCAGATATCTATTGTCTAATGGTGACAAAATCTGAATTAAAAAAAAAAAGATTGATTCTAGAGTCTTTCTTCATACAAGTAATAGAATTTTATCTAATTTCTACCTCGTTTTTCTTCTTCCCAGATATCGAGTTCTGTATTTCTGTAAATAACAGGGTCCAAAGCTTTAGCAATGCGATACGGTACTGGTGGGCTTACTCGCCTCCCGGCAAACTTCTCATGCTAAAAATTACAAAGAACAGTACCTCCTTAATGCAATGTAACTATAATCATCAGTTTTAAAGTAAAGGGTTAGAGATCAATTTGTAACAGGCTAGGGGTTGAGGTTTATGAACAAAATATCTGTGGACCTTGCAACAATTATTTTTTAAAATTTGATTTTTAAATGGCATTTTTATCAATTAGAAGCAGTTAATTTGGCTGGTAGCTGATTCTTTAGGGAAAACCCCCAATCATATTAAGAGAGGTGTATCAATTCACAAGAATTCATTTTTAAATATATCTCCTACAGAAATCTGAAAATACTTCACACAAATTTGTGACTCCCTCTCCTTTAAACTATTTCTGGCTACTGCCACATCTTTTGCCATTGAATAGTTAGTATACATTCTATTTGACAATAAATGACAAAACCAACAAAATTTATGTTTCAAGTGACATTAATTATAAAACTAAAGTATATCACTGAAATAGTGGTGTCTGATTGATAATAAATGTTTTATCTAATATGTAGTAGACTTTTGACTTTGATCCAATCTGTTCCATCTCCTCTAGACTAACAAAAGACCCATGCTGGTGTCACTTTGCTCAACTGTGTCACCTCAGCCCTGCTGTTCTTCAGAATGAGATTTTAAATGATTTTTTTTTCTTTCTTTTTTTTTTTTTTTTTTTTTTTAGAAATTTTCATGCAAAATTTCCCCATATATTGTACATGGCCCCACCCTACCTCCAATGGGGCACAACTTAATTGACCCAACTTGAATCCAAATGTTGAAGACTTTGGTTTTTCTTTGCTCTAGCTAAACCCCATCCTAACGCCAAGGGCCATAATTTAAACAATCTTAAATCCACTCTACACGAAGATGCTTGATTTTTCATTGTAGCCCTTATGTTATTGAGGAAATTTTTAATGTTTGACCCTCAATTATAACTCCACCTAGTCCTAGGGGGTTGTTACTTTAAAAATTTGAATGTACACTGCATGAAGAAGCTTGCATGAATATTAATAAAACCAATGGGGATTTGCATTCTCAATTTACCAATGACCCCCTCTGAAAGCCCCACCCAAGCACCAGGGATCACAATTTGCACAAGTTATGAAGATAATATGAAGATAATATATTAATGTGACCTCTATTGGCCCTGCTGTTTTTGATAAGAATTTTGTCAAACTAACCCCCTACAGCCTCACTCTGGGCCTGGAGGCCACGATTTGAACAAACTTGAATAAACCCTAACTAAAGAAGCATTCATCTTTTGCTTTTTTCTGGTCTAGTGGTTCTGAAGGTTTCGTAAGTGATACCATCAAATTTTAATCATTTGCTAATTATCACCCCTTGAAGGTGGGTGTGGCATTTTATTTGAACAAACTTGAATCCCCTTCATCCAAGGATGTAAGGATGCTTTATGGCAAATGTAGTTGTAATTGTCCCCAATAGTTCTGGACACAAAGACAGATGCTCTAGATCTTCATAAAAAATTCAAGCTTTTTCCTGGCCCTTGGCTCAGGTGAGCTATCATAAAAGGATATACTATTCTGAATGACTTGTATCATCACAAGATTCAAGTACCCATTATTTAGGTAAAGGAAATATCAATATTATAACTTATAATAGTGCATGTTCAGAGGCCTTTAAGGTCAGACGACACATTCCTCAAACATACGTTCTGTATTTCTTGGTATTATATCAAAATTATTCCCAATTGTCATTCTCATGTGATTTCTAAATTGTTTTCAATATGTATTTAAAAATATAGACACCAAAAATTTTGATATTGTTACCCTCTGGTATCATGCCCAAATCCCCGGTAAGGTACCTCAATTTTGGGTGAGGAAACTTGTTTGAGTAGCAATCCTTTAATGATCAATTCTTGGGAAAAATTATATATTTTCGAGGAATGTGTCGTCTGACCTTAAAAAATGAATACTTAGTTTCCAAGTATTCATTCAACTATGCACTATGGTCTTACTACATGAATACTGTCATATATATCTGTAATTAAATCCATCCCAATCAGAACAGAGAAATCCAGTCTAAAGCATATTCTATTAATTCCAACTGCAATTTACATGTGTTTATATTGATCTTCCAACCTGAACACATTTTACTATTTAAACTTTTTCACAATGCATTTAAAATCTCATTAAAAGAGATTCTATCTGATGAACTAAGAAGTGACCCAAAGCTATCATACATTTAGTTTAATTAAGAGAATTTAAATTGTTGGTATGTTCCAATTGATACACCTCAAAGCAACTTTTTTTTTTTTAATTTAAAAATCCCACTTAAGGAGGCTGGGGGGTCAACAAATTAACCACAAATTAACCACCAGATTTAACTAAATTTTTTAGATATGATATCTTAAGCTGTCAACTATCATTTGGCAAAGAAAAATTTCAAAAATTTTAGTTTTAAAATTTGATCATTTTCTATATCTTCATATGGAGCTCTTCTTCTAAAGGAGATCAATATAGTCTAAAAATGGCCACAACCCCCCAGCCTCTTTAAAACACATTTTTCAATAATCTAAACCTCTCTGTCCTTGTGACCCTGAGGTCACTTATTGACCTCTGACCTAATGTCAGTCATACTCTTTGTCCTTAAAACATATTAGAGCAAATTCCAAAAATTATTGTAATTACGATATAAAAAAGCAAATATGCAAATCAAAACCATTTCCATATTAATACCAGCTTTTAATTCTACTGACAAATAGACAGTATATGCCATCTGTTTTATATGACAGGCATTTACATATTAATGGCCTACATACAAGTATATTGAACTTTTGATCTAAAACACATTAAGAGTACACAATTAAAGATTATTCCGAGTCAAAATGATACTTTTTTAAACCAACTTTTTTATCACCCGAGCATATATCTGTACGTATAATAATGAATACTAGCATTACATTCTTTTAAAGGTGTGGAGGTAGCAAAAATGTTGACTTAATTTTAGCCGATTACAAAATGTTACCTTAGAGAACGAGTCCTCTCCACTATGGCTGGAGTCTGGACTAGATTCAGCGCTGCAACAAACAAGAAAAAAAATCTTAATCAAGGTGTGTAAATCAACCCCCCATCTTGTCACAGTGCAATCACAAATCAATCGCCTTAAACATCAGCTGTTCAACGACAGACACTTCAGAAACATCAGAACAGCTGTGACCGAGTCTCTCCATCCCCTCTTACAAAGTGTTTTATGCATCACAATACAATCTTGTCACTAGGGAAGAATTTGTTTAAGACCTGGTTGTTCAATGAGATAACTTTGTCAACATCTTGCAGTAGTTGTTAGATCAGTCAATATTTTAAATTAAGAAGCCAGCTCTTCCAATTAAAATATTCAAAAATCTGAATTAAAAATAAAGAAGAACACTGATACTGTGGAGTCATTGTTGTCAGTGAGGGACTTTAATGAACTCTGTGACCTTGACTTAATGACCTTGATCAGGATCATGTCATATCCTATGATCATAATCAACCCTTTAGGCAATATGATCTTTGAGAGTTATTTCATTATTAAATAATGTTGTGAATGAGAATTTTACACTTCAAACTTGTGACCTTGACCTTGTCCACACGACAATGGTGCAGGGTTGTTACCACTCTCTGGTCACAAGTAACCTTTGTATTTTATAATGTTTTTCTCCACATCAGAGTTATGGCATACAGCAATAATTTTATACTTCCAAAACCCATGACCTTGTTGAAATTACCCTGGGTTAGAGTCTGGAGAAACCCTTGAGTAACAAGCAAACTTTGTCTTAGGTAAAAGCTTCTACTGTTTTCCATTTCAAAGTTCTGGCTAAAATAATAATTTAAATATTTTTGTAGCCTGTGACCTTGACCTTTGTCCATAATGACCTTGTACTGGGTCAACACTCAACTATGGATACAAGCTACCTTTGTACTTAGTATGGGACTCTAAAAGTTTTTTGCATGGTTACAAAGTTATGCCCAGACAAGAATGGCACTTCTCTCAATCCAGTCTGAGAAGTTCAATGTACAATAAACCCTTTAAAGAAGTCAGAACTTTTCTAAATTTTAATAAATCAATCTTAAATTTCAACTGGTACACAAGTTTAATTGATTAATTGTACAAAGTTTGGAAAAAAATATGAAGTAATTTCAGAGATCATCTCCACACAGAAAAATGTCTACAGACAGACAGACAAACAAACAGACATGGCAATTCCAGTATACACCCAACAAAACTTTGTGGGATATAAATAATTCAGTAAAATACACTAATTAAGGCAATCTGAATATAACAAGTTTGTCACAGATTAGTTACCAAGCAACAAGTTGCTCTAACTATATAACCCCTATTCAAGCAGCTTCCTAAATATGTCAATATAAAATGACTTACTCCACAATGGGAAAGACTCCGTTCCTGTTCTTGTTTTTATTTTGCTCACGGATGATTTGGACGGATTCCTCGAGCTCCGTGTGAAGATGGAACACAGTCCTATAGAGAATCTCATACACAATCGCTAAAAACAGGAAAATCTAAATGTAATTGACAGAGTACACAGATTTGCTTCTGCAGATTTCGATACATTTAGTGACGTCCTTCAACCCAAGTTCACAGGTCATTAGACCATTCAATGAAATTAAGGGTGAATTTTATTTTCTTTTAATAAGATGATTATCTGAATTTGTACTTTAATTTCGCTGTTCATCCCTGGGTAAACACAAAAAGAATACAAAACTCAATATTCTTGTACTTTTTGTTGGGTGTCTAAACATGCATGCCTACTATATTACTTTTTTCTCCACATGTCATGTAACAAATATAAACAAATCATAAGCCGTGAAATGTAAAGCATCTATTTATATTCCCTGAAGCAAATCTGTAATTTACCGTGGGTTATACTTGTAAGTCTGCCTCTGTCAATATCAAATGATCGGGTAATCCTTGTATTAATTGAAGGAAGATGAACAGAAAAAAATCTCCTAATCTTTTTTAAAAGGACCATTTCAGAATTCATGAGAACTTGTTATCTGCATGAATATTACATTGCTAGCTGCTATTTTTACATAATTATCAATTGATCAGATCCGAAGACCATAAACTGACGATCCAAAAGTTTAGATTTTGAATACCTTGATTCTTATTTTTATTAAAAAAATGTTTTAAAAGTTGCCACTTTCTATAATTTTTATATAGAAAAACATTATGAATTTTTTCTTCAAAATTATTCCATATGTTATACTAATTTGAACCTTTGACTTTTTGAAATTTGTTCTCGACATGTCTATAGTCTTGAGTCCAGGACAAAGTTCCTCTCCCTCCTCAAACCTTATATTTTTATTTATACATAGCCATTCCATAACATTTCATAAACAAAGGGCTTTTTTAAAGTCAAGTTAAAAGCATTTTTCATTCATTAAGCTAATAAAAGTAAATAAATTACATTTACAACTGAACGCCCAGCTACGATAAATTAAAATGTTCCGAGTCATTTGTTGCACTTGATTCTTTTTCTTTCATACGTATTCTCATCTTCCTTTAGTAACCTGCAGTTTCATAACTTAATTGTTTTAAATTATAAAAAAAAAAACAATTTCATATCATTAATCAATCAAATTTCTCATGAATTGATCCAATAAAATTACAAAAACTACATCTTTGATATCAGGAAATCAATAATTAGCATACACACTGTAGTCAACTACATGTAACCAGGGCGGGAGAAAATGCGACCAGTAAGCCTTTACAGAAAATATCTTACAATTAATACAGGAAACTTCCAATTCTCTATAAAATATCTAAGCTATAGCTGCTAGCAAACAAGAGGCCTATATATAACCCAAGGGTCATGTTTTGAACAAACTTGAATCTACTCTACCTGAGGATGCTTCCAATATCAATATGACTTATCAAGCCTTTGCTGTTCTTGCAAAGAAGATTTTTATACATTTTTTCCTATCTATGAAATTTCATATGTAAAACTTTGATTGTCCATTGCTGCCCTACCCTAAGGCCAGGGGTCATTATTTGAACAAACTTGAATCTACACTATGTAATGAAGCTTTCACATAAGTTTCAACTTTTCTGGCCCAGTTGTTCATGAGAAGAAGATTTTTAAAGATTGTTTCCTAAATATTCCTACATAAAACTTTGATCTTCCATTGTTGCCCTGCCCTATCCTTGGGGCAAAATTGGCCCAGCAGTTCTAAAGAAGATAAAAATGTGAGCCTTTGGCTCAGGTGTGTTAAAAAAGGGCTTTGATTGGGATTTGAACCCAGCTCCACTGAATCACTAGCCAGGTGCTCTACCAACTGAACCATCTGGCCACTGGTGATTGAACCTGCCTGACTGACATATTTCTCCCTCCTCAAAGGTCTTCACCCCAGAAGACACCAATCAAGACTCTCCCCCAACACGTCTGTCAGCTGTCACTTCCAGTGCATGGCATTTATGGCACCAAACTTAACTGGTGAGGAATAAAAAAGTGATGGACCAGACAGGGACTCAAACCCAGGCCCCGATTCACTATAGTCTGATGCTCTATCAGGTGGCTCTGACTGCCGATACCCTTCTCTCCCCAAAGGCCCTGGAGTAGAGGTGACAGACCTGCTAGGAAAGCATCTGGGTTGGTGTCTTCAGGATGATGGTTATTAAGGAGGGAGGAATGATTAATTTTGCACATTTTCCTCAAACTGACACTACCTTATCAAGAGCACTTGAGCAAAAAACTTGTCACTGCCAAATTTTTTCAAACATACAGGTGCGCACTTTTATTACATTTTCAACATTGAACTACTGTAATATATTTATTGAATAAAAGCGATATTTTGTCACAGTGTGAAAGAATATCTGAAGTGCAACAAAACTCAAGATTTTCCTCCTTTCATCAGTTCATGAAGAATGTTGTTAAAAATACTCCCTGGCCTGTTATAAGATAAAAAGCAAAAAACATCCTGACAGAGACTAAAACTGCCAAAGTTTCTCCAAATATGTTCTTGAAATTCATGTTTACAAAGTTTTCAATCTCACAATTGCTAAGCTACAACTTCTCAACCTCTCAACTATGACATCACAGCCTATGACATTATGTTACGGAAAGACAGAAGCAACGGGGAAATCTTTAGGTATGTTCACACTCCTGAAAATATTTTTAAAAATCCTGTCCCACCTGTGAAATAAATTTATCATCCAACAACAAAATGATTGAATATCCTCTACATATCCCATACTTACACTGACAAATGGCGAGTTCTGCGTGGTAAGCTTTGGTGTAAACACAGTCCAACTGATTATTGTCCAAACGACACAGAACTATCTGAAAACCCAAGAAAGCATTGTTTCTTTAATTTGATTTCATCAACAAAAGTTATAGGAAATATATACATACTGATAAATAACTATACATGTATACACCAGTATGATAGTACATGCAGACATTACAATATACTAATAATACAGACAGACAGACAATATATGCATATTAACCGACATATGATACAGACATGTACTGTATAAAGACACAAATTTATACATTATTTATATTAGGATTAAATAAATCAATGTAGTTATATATACCATTACCTTTCGTGGGAAAACATTTCCAGTCAAATCCACTGGGGGTTTTCCAACCATTTCATACACAACAAAATCTAACCTTAAATTAGTTGAAAAGAATACAATAATGCCAATGAATGATAAGAACAGATCAAATTTTAACTAAAACAACAAGAAGTCTGTGAGCGAATGCTCACTAATAATACCCCCGCTCTGATGTGAATACACAAGTTCGGTTATGGACAAACACAGTGATAATCAGGAAATTGACATCGGATTTGTAAAAACTGAATCCCAACATATGGCATGCCTAAACAAAGAGAAAATTTCAAGCATCTGCGATGAGTAGTTGCTGAGAAAACTACGACCAAAATTTATTATGTATGGTACGGACAGACGCATGGATAAACAGGAAGTTGACATCGGATTTGTTCCAAAAATGAATCCTATTATATGGCATGCCTAAACAAAGAGTGTGTTAAAATTTCAAGCATCTGCAATGAGTAGTTGCTGAGAAAACTACGACCAAAATTTGTTATGTATGGTACGGACAGACGCATGGATAAACAGGAAGTTGACATCGGATTCGTACAAAAATAAATCCCACCATATGGCATGCCTAAACAAAGAGTGTGTTAAAATTTCAAGCACCTATGATGAGTAGTTGCTGAGAAAACTGCGACCAAAGTTTGTTATGTGTGGTACGGACAGACGCACGGATAAACAGGGAGTTGACATCGGATTAGTACAAAAATAAATCCCACCATATGGCATGCCTAAACGAAGAGTGTGTTAAAATTTCAAGCACCTGTGATGAGTAGTTGCTGAGAAAACTGCGACCAAAGTTTGTTATGTGTGATACGGACAGACGCACGGATTAACAGGAAGTTGACATCGGATTCATACAAAAATGAATCCCAACATATGGCATGCCTAAACAAAGATTGTGCTAAAATTTCAAGCATCTGCGATGAGTAGTTGCTGAGAAAACTACGACCAAATTTTTTTATGTATGGTACGGACAAACGCACGGATAAACAGGAAGTTGACATCGGATTCGTACAAAAATGAATCCCACCATATGGCATGCCTAAACAAAGAGTGTGTTAAAATTTCAAGCACCTCTGATGAGTAGTTGCTGAGAAAACTGCGACCAAAGTTTGTTACGGACAGACAGACGGACAGACAGACAGACACACAAGGGAAAAACAGTATACCCCCCTCTCCTTCGGAGCGGGGGTATAATAATAACTCATGCCAAAATACAATGCATCCAAAATTTTCATCTTTGAAAGGACAGAAGAAATTCAAACCATTATCTTTTAGTCACAGGCAAATATATATGCAAGATTTGTGACCTAGCTTTCTTAAACTCCCACTTATCATCACAAATCATTTACTTGTGAAATTATGCTGAATATTCCTCAGTTGTGAAAACTATAGTCATGGATGGATTTAATCAAACTGACAAATTACAAATAAAAGTGAATTATCTCGAATCAGACTAAACAGATTACTGTATCCCATCAGGGCAGTGCAGGGTCCTAAATTAATAAACTTTAAACATTTTATTTTCATTTTTTCATAATTTTATTCAAAAACATAAAATTTCATGTCTTAATAATATTTAATTTAAATATTATATTTAAATTTAATATAAATTTTATTGAATATTTCCCAAAATTACGCCATGAAAATCCTTCTGAGCTACAAAAAGTTTGAAAGTTAGGTTTCTCAGACACAAAATAATGCAGCATTTCTAATCCTTACTCAGACAGAAAAGTGTTCCTTAGTACTTTATATATGGGATAGAGTTTCTATACATGTGGGGTATAGTGTCCCATACCTATAAATGTGGGATACTGTGTTCCTTACCTATGCATGTGGGATGTATAGCATTCCTTATCCTGTACACATTTTCAACAATGAAATACTGTTACTTATGTCTTGAATGAAAGTGAAGCTTTTTTCAGTGTGAAAATATATCTGAAGTGCGGCAATTTTCCTAACCTTCATGAACACTTCAGAGTTTTAGAAAAATGACATCCTAGCCTGTTACATGTATAACTAAAATAGCGAGAGTAAATAACTACCATCCTGACAGAGACTAAAACTGCCAAAGTTTTTCTAAATTGTTATTAAAATCTATGTTTACAATTTTCCATCTCATAATTGCTTTGCTATGACATCTCAATCTCTCAATCATGAGTCGTCACAGCCTTAACAATCTGCATTTCCAAAAGACAGAGGCAAAAGGAAAATCAAAGGCAATGAAATATAAACAGAAAATTCAATGTTTTGTAGTTGAATATGGAAGGAGATGGGCGAACATAGTGTGCAGAAAGCCTATAGCTTCAGATATATATAAATCATGTTCAGTTTGTGAATTTTGACAATTATTATTGTCTCATTATTGAAATTCATGAAATTATGATAAACAAAACTTTTCCGAGGACAATTTTCTCGGCAAAATTTATTCTTTTATTAAAAAAAAATTAATGTGGTATTTCTGGGGTTCGAACCCTAGCTAGCAATAACAAGAGGCCCATGGGCCACATCGCTCACCTGAGTAACTTTGGCCATGCTGTTCATTACCAGACTCCCCCCTTGTAATACCTATTGTGGCCCCACCCTCCCCCCAGGGGCCATGATTTGAACAATTTAGAATCTACACTACCCCAGGATGCTTCCACGTAAGTTTCAGTTTTTCTGGTCCAGTGGTTCTTGAGAAAATTTTTAAAGATTTTTCCTATATATTTCAATGTAAAACTTGGATTCCCTATTGTGGCCCCGCCCTACCCCCGGGGGTCATGATTTGAACAATTTAGAATCTACACTACCCCAGGATGCTTCCACATAAGATTCAGCTTTTCTGGCCCTGTGGTTCTTGAGAAGATTTTTAAAGATTTTTCCTATATATTTCTATGTAAAACATTGATTCCACATTGTGGCCCCGCCCTACCCCCGGGGGTCATGATTTGAACAATTCAGAATCAACACTACCCCAGGATGCTTCCATATAAGTTTCAGCTTTACTGGCCCTGTGGTTCTTGAGAAGAAGATTTTTTAATGACCCCACCCTATTTTTGTCTTCTCTTGATTATCTCCCCTTGTGAGGGGACTTGGCCCTTCATTTTAACAATTTAAATTCCCCTTCAACCAAGGATGCTTTGTACCAATTTGGTCAAAATTGGCCCAGTGGTTCTTGAGAAGAAGTCAAAAATGTGAAAAGTTTACAGACGGACGGACAGACAGACGGACGGACGACGGACAAAATGTGATCAGAAAAGCTCACTTGAGCCTTCGGCTCAGGTGAGCTAAAAACCCTGAGTATCATTTTCTTTTGAGACTAGCACGCAAACCACTACACTACACAAGTCCTGATGAAGAGTGGCATTTAAATCATGTTTGTGATATGACCCTTGACTTAATGGACTTCTCGAAAAGATACGAATGTTATGTCATAAAAGTATATTTTTAAGGTATAGTGGGTCATTGCTCCATATTTTTGGTAACCAAAAAATGTATATTTTTATGCAAACTTTGAGGATAACTTTCAAAAAGGTGGAGAGAAGACCCACTCAAATCAAAAAATAGTGTTATAGTATGAGAAAATGACTCTTTTTTCTCCCTTTGGTGTGTGTCTAATATTTCACGGGCAAATAATTTCACTCTTTGAGGGATTTTTGCAATTGTAGAGATTTTACATAAAGTATATTTTAATGTTAGAAGAAATATCAAGGAAAATTTTGATATAATTGAAATTTAATTTTTCATCTTCATGTTTGTCACACTATAGGCTTATCGCTCGTCATGTTCACCCATCTCCTTTCTTACTCATTACAATATTAAAAAAATCCTCTTCCTCCAGTGAAATAAATTCCATACCCAACTACAAATCACTGAACATCCTCTATTTCCACATGCATACATGTGAGATAGTATTTCTAACATATACAGGCGAGATAGTGTTCCTTACCTATACATGTGGGATAGTATTCCTTACCTATACATGTGGGATAGTGTTCCTTACCTATACATGTGGGATAGTGTCCCTTACCTATACATGTGGGATAGTGTTCCCTACCTGTACATGTGGGATAGTGTTCCTTACCTATACATGTGGGATAGTGTTCCTTTCCTATCTATACATGTAGGATAGTGTTTCTTACCTATACATGTGGGATAATGTTCCTTACCTATATATGTGGGATAGTGTGTCTTACCTATACATGTGGGACAATGTTCCTTACTTATACATGTGGGATAGTGTCCCTTACCTATACATGTAGGATAGTGTTTCTTACCTATACATGTGGGATAGTGTTCCTTTCCTATCTATACATGTAGGATAGTTTTTCTTACCTATACATGTGGGATAGTGTTCCTTACCTATACATGTGGGATAGTGTTTCTTACCTATACATGTGGGACAATGTTCCTTACTTGTACACGTGGGATAGTGTTCCTTATCTATACAGTCATGTAGGATAGTGTTCCTTACATATACATGTGGGATAGTGTTCCTTACCTATACATGTGGGATAGTGTTTGCATTACATCCTGTTCATTCCAGACCTAAAATACAAGAATTTATACAGAATCAATTCAGAAATATTTTTCATATAAGCTGTATATGTGTTTTGCAAAATTATATAGGGAGAAATACAAAGTATATTTGTTATTGAGTTCAATAATATTATTTTTGGCAATCGTGATGACAATATTTTAGTTAAAAAGCAGATGATCTTTCAGTGAAATCTACTCACTTCCAAGATCTCAGAAGTTTTAACTTACATAGTCTTCTTGGGTGCATATCCTTGAGAAAACACTCCTACTTGCATCACAGATTTCCTTATAATAAGCTTGTGTGAGGTAAATCTAGATTCCAAAAAAATACAGAATGGATCACATTCATTCGTATACACCAATGAATACATATACACATATATTCATATACACCAAAATCATAACATTATGATTTCCAAAGGTAAATTTTCAGTAATATAAAAGAATGTTTGAATTTAAAAAATAGTAGATTTTTTTCCCATTTTCATTGAAAATTATAATTACATTTTCTGTTGAAAATGATCAATATCTTTCCTTTCAAAATGCATGATGGCAATAAGAAAGAAACTAAGAAAAATTCAATGTAAGTAGTGAATATCAAATTCATCTGATTTTCAATTTTTTGACCATCACCTCTTGCACAAGGTTGAAGTTGATAAAAGAAAACCTGCCTTAGTTACCTCAGCATTAACAAGAAATATTTTTCAATGGTCTCTATTTCAGGACCAGGAGAGGTATTAAACAAGAGGCCCATGTGTCACAATACTCACCTGAGTCATTTCAAAGTCCTCCTGTTTTTCATCAGATTTATTCACTTCATATTCCTTTGTAAAACTTCTTATCGCCTATTGTGGCCCCACCCTACCCCCGGTCATGATTTGAATAAACCTGAATCTACTCTACCTGAAGATGCTTCCAATATCAATATGACTTATCAAGCATTTCCTCTTTTTTGAAAAAAAGAAAAAGATTTTTAAAGATTGTTTTCTATATTTTCCTATGTAAAACTTTGATCTCCCATTGTGGTGCAACCCTTACCCTGGGAGTCATGATTTGAACAAACTTGAATCTACACTATGTAATGAAGCTTTCACATAAATTCCAACTTTTCTGGCCCATAATGGTTCATGAGAAGAAGATTTTTAAAGATTTTTCCTGTATACTGCTAGATAAAACTTTGATCACCCTTTGGGGCCCCATCCTACCCTGAAGGTCATGATTTGAACCAACTTACATGTTCACTAAGTGATGTGTGATGAAGTTTTCATGCAAGTTTCATCTTTTCTGGCCTAGTGGTTCTTGAGAAGAAGATATTGAAAGATGTCATCACATTTTCACTAATTCTTAATTATCTCCCCTTGAAAGAGGGTGTGGCCCTTCATTTGAACAAACTTGAATCCCCTTTACCCAAGGATGCTTTGTAGCAAATTTGGTTGACATTGCCCCAGTGGTTCTGGAGAAGAAGACGAAAATGTGAAAAGTTTATGACGACGACAGACAGCGGATAAATTTCAATCAGAAAACCTCACTTTAACCTTTGGATCAGGTGAGCTAAAAAGTGGTGGTGAATATTTTGTCACAATATGTTAAGAACACACAGTGAGCAACATTATGGAGATCGATATATTTTCTCTCCAACTGTGCATATGCAAGTAAAATATTAATGGACCTTTTTAATTGTTTTGAATACAATTTTTGTTTACATTTTTTCCATTGGCAAGAAGCAGAACTCCAGATAAGGTGTGTATTTGCAGAAAAATGCCTTGATTTTGTTAAAATACACATTAAAAATTAAAACAGGGCGTACAATTACGCATTAGCAATCATAAATAAGCATTACACTACAAAAGTACTGCGTACATGTACGATGGATTGAATGATACAAGGACGATTTAACTAATTATGTGAATTGAGGTCAGCTCAGTGTTTGAACTTTTATCAAAAGGAAAATTTGATTTATAAGCGTATTCAGAAAAACCTAGGCTGATTTTCAGTTCAGGAGTAAGATTTGAATATTAAATACTTGTATTTTGTATGAAAATATCTCAGATTTCCACTGTTCATAAAACATCCAAATTTTTCATTCTTGACGTGTACACGTCAATATTATCAATATTGCACAAAACACGTATGGTGTCCAATTTTTTCTTTATCACTGTTTATTTAACATTTCTTATATATTTACCATTTTCTGTAGCAATAATATCATCTTAAGTCCACCGACAACCTTTATTAATTGCTTTTTTGCTTTCCACATGCTCCTTTGCTATAAATAGCGCCACGGACTTTTAATGCAAATGAGGAGTAACTCTAAAACTTTTACCTCGATCGATGCCAACAATTTACACTGCAAAACCTAATATATATTTTTGATACCAAAAAACAAAACAAGAACAAAAACAATGGGGTGGGACATTTTGAGAGGGGCAAGTGGGGATGAAAATCTAAAGATTAATTTTATCTGGCCAAAGAAAGGATATTTTTCTTGGTAACTCTTGCTATGATCAATATAGACCTAATCTTAAATGGAGGTCTGTGTGCCCTTGGTAACTTTGCCTAATGTATGGTCTTTCTGGTGAAAGAAACGAAATGTTTCTAAGTTATAGCTAAAAGCTGTCCTTTTTTTTTTTAAATTTCATTATCCTAATTGGTAAATGCAGAAACTGTCCTTTTTTTTTCTCTACATTCCTCTTTCAAAAATACTTATTTCGATAACAAACTAAAACTCACATTAGATATCAAAAGAGCAATATAGATTAACAAAATACTTTTTGATTATTTTGCTGAAAGGCAAAATCTGCATTAATTTGAAAATCAGGGAGTAAATACACTTTGAGGTAAAAAATTATCTGGAGCTCTGAAGTTTTGAAATTGTCTTGCAGTTTGGTCTATGTGTACCCCATTTCCAATAGCAAATTTTGTTCCAGTCTGCCAGGATATAAATGGATGTATTCTCCACTGCTAAGAATATATGACATTTAACTGGTGCCAATATATTTGTTGTGAATATACTTCATTGCCTTGTCCTTATTCTGATGGCAATAACATTTTTAGTAAAGCCAATATTCCTACATCTTCACCAGTCAAGGGTGATGATCCGCTCCTCTAGCTTTTCTTTTCACATGAAGAGGAGAGCAGATCATCACCCTTGGCTCAGAGAAGATGCTATTCCTATGGAAAGATGGCAGCTCCCCTTTCTAAGCTGAATCTGTACAAGGGAAAAACACCTCTATCATGACTCTTACTAAATTTTAGAAACTAGTCTCGATAAGAGTATCTGAAAAATGACAATTTCACCAACATATCTGCCAAAAATTTTATCCTTTTATTGATGGCTTGCAATATCTTTGGTCATCATCACTGGTGACTTTCTATGTGTATATCTCAAGCTCCTTTTCTTGTCTTATCTTTCTCTTTGAACAGTCATAATTTTTTCCAGTTTTTTACTCTGCCCATAACATTGTAAACTTCAGTTCAAATTTCCTTTTTTTCTTGAACAATTAGTTCCAAATCTAAATGTTACAGTTGAATTATGAGAATTCAGGGTGGCTTGGTATTCTCTTCTAATTGTTTGTGTTTGCTGAATATAATTGCAAAGTTTATCCATTTATCTGAAATTATTTAAGACTTATGTGTCAGAAGTATATCATAATATTAATTTAAATTTTTTTCAGATTTTCATAACTTTCATTACTTCCGGGACAATGCATTGTACATCATACTGTAAACCAACTTTTATTCGCGACGACTTTATTTCACGATTTACCGGGGATAAACTAGTTCGCGACGATTAATTTCTGCGATCAAGCCTTTTTTTGGATCTGTTGTTAATAGAAAGAGAGACTTTAAGGACCTGTTCGCGGTGAGAAATATTCGCGATGACGAAGCTCTCGCAAACCTCGCAAAAATTTATCGCTTGCGAATAAAAGTTGGTTTACAGTATTTACTTTTTCTTAACAAATTAAAGAAGTTTTTCGCCAAAAACAAATGAACTAGCCATTTTAGGAGACAGCATACTGCATTTAAATCATATCAATGCATTCCCTCCTTTCAAGTCCTTATCAACTGCTGTGGCCAATCTATTTGTAGTAGTGTTAGAAATTGCATGAGTAAATGAGGTATTATTTTTTATTGTTTTGATAGAATAAATCCATATTGATAGCATGCATATACACAGTAAAACTCCGTTATAGCAAAGTTCTAGCGAATTTACTTTGCTATATCGGTAATTCAATCGTTATATCCATATATATAAGGAGTCCAATTCAAAAAAATATACAAAGGGAATTCGCATTATAGATTTTTTTTTCATTCAAGTATGACTACCAAATGTATTTAGGAAGTATAAAATGCAAAATTAATCTTGAAGTTCAATAGTTTTTGGATGAACTGAGTTTCAAATATAAATACAAAATAAATGTCAGTTCAATATTTTAAAAATGTAGATCTTTTAAATTGGTTGTAAAAGATGTAAAACTTGTCATTTTTTAACTTCTAGGGGACACAAAATCAGTTTCCTATAATTCGCTATATCCGTTTTCTTTATATCTATAAAATTTTACAAGGAATTGTTAAGAATTTTGCCAAGGATGGCAATAAAGTTTGCTATATCTGTAAACTCACTATATCCCTGTTCATACTAAATGAGTTTAACTGTAAGTCATAAAAAAAAAAAACAATCAAAAATTGTTTTATACTATGTCTAAATTGTTGGTTTTAAATGCATTTCTTTTTTTTCCTCATTTTAATCTGATTATTAATTTGTAACTTAACAAAAAGCTTTTAGAAGAAATGCTCCCAAGAACGGGAGTAGGCAGTATAAAAGCATACAAGGGTTTCCAGTTAATCATTGTACTTGAAAAAATGAAAGAGAAAAGTTAGCACAAAATTTTCTTTTGAATTTATTACAGATGCAAATGAAAAAATATCTTGGACACTACATTTATTTTTATGTCCACTATCGCTGCAGCACTTGCAGAAATCATAAGCATCATCACATGTCATTGATGCAGAGATTCATTTGATGTTTTCCTTCAATATATTACTAGCTTGTTTCAATTTCTCCACACAGACTTCAATGTCAAAATTTACAGCTTCATTTTCACAACCACAAAAAAAAATGAACATTAATGAATATTGAAATATTACATTATACAGATTATTCAATATTTGTAATGTGACTAAATCATGATCAAATCTAAAACATAATTATACTAAGGACCCATGAATTTACTAGAATGAAATTGTAACGTACTCTATTGGGTGCAGCTTTGATTAATAAACCAGTATTAAGTGATATATATATCTATATATATATATATATATATATATATATATATATATATATATATATATAAATATAAATATGATATCATTATATGATAGTCAACTCTTTTGATGGTTGTTCAACAAACTTGACTTGCAATTGTTATTTAAGTGATGAATTGAGAATTCATGAGGACATGAACTACGACACTTCACGCCTGCATATTTCATGAAGCGCGTTAGCACATCATGATAAAGTCAATGGCCTTGATTTTTCCTGAAAATTTTGCACTATTTTTTTATTTCAATCACATCACAATGGAAATATTCTTACTCATCCCACGGTAGTTCATGAGAACATGAACTTTTTCTAATTTGCAAAGAATCTTAAGGAAAAATATTTGGAAATGAAAATATAGATTTATATGAGCATATTCTTTCTACTGTTCTAAAGACATGTGGAAACTAAATGAAAATTGGTGAACATTACAGTAGTTATAATCCGATTCCTGCAATTTTCCTTATTTCCTATAACCTAAAACAAGAGGTCCTAGGGCCTTAACAGTCACCTGAGTATATAACACAATCCATAGAGGATCCACAGAGTATAAAATAAACTGATAGAATAAGAAAATTTCATTCTCGTGTATATTAGTATTAATGCGTTCTATTTCCACTATGGAAGAGTTATACTTCTTAGTGCGCTCTTTTGTGAAAAAGTCGGAAAATGTACAAATCTCGCAGGATTTCTGGGACAAACGTAACATAAACATGTAAACAATATGTTGAATGTCGATGAACAGTTCCTAAGAAAATGCAAATGAAATATTTTATTGCTGTGGACTTTATATACATCAAGAGTAGGAATGACAGCGATATCAATTTATATCTATTGTTGATCGTATGTATCTATTTATCGTATGGTACATCTAATTACAATACACATGCCTCGGATATGTCGTATTTTTTATTAATGGATGATAAATTTAGGGTTCTCGCTCTCTTACATGTTTTTTAGTTCTTCTATTCTTTAATTGGAATGACAAATACATTTAACATTTTAAAATTGGATTGAGATTGGCATGTTTTGTATTATCCGCCACGCCATGCTGTCCCAGTCAGATGACCAAACGCACCTCTAATTTTGAAGAGTTCACTAATGGAAATAGAACGTATTCCTAAAGATCATATAGAGCAATAACCACCTTTCGTGAATTAATTCTGAGAGAATCAATGACTATCTCGTAAAAATAAGGTGTATTGAAATGACTAATCATGGCTTTGTTGTTTCTTGAGAAAAAGATTTTTAAATATCTTTCCTAAATCTTTCCTAAATATTCCTAACTAAAACTTTGATCACCTGTTGTGTCCCCTCCCCACCCCAGGGGGTCATGATTTGAACAAATTTGAATCAACATTACCCAAGGATGCTTCTATATAAATAAGACAAATCATGGTTTTGCTATTTTGAGAAGATTGATCATTCAAGATTTTTCCTATGTATTTATATGTAAATCTTTGATCGTCCAATTTGTGGCCCCACCCAACCCCCAGAGTCATGATTTGAACAAACTAGAATCTATACTATCTGAGGATGTTTCAACATAAGTTTCTTCTTTCTTGGCCCAGTGGTTCTGGAGAAGATTTTTAAAGATTTTTCCCATGTATTCCTATGTAAAACTTAGATCGTCCATTGTATAGCCCCACCCTAGCTTCCCTTGGGGGTATGATTTTAACAAACTTGAGTCTACACTACCTGAAGATGTTTCCGTATAAGTTTCATATTACCTGGTCCAGTGGTTCTTGAGAAGAAGATTTTTAAAAGATGCCATTATTTTTTCACTTATTCTTAATTATCTCCCCTTGGAAGAAGACGTGCCCTTCATTTGAACAAACTTGAATCACCATCACCCACAGGGGCATCTTATCCGCTCTGTTCTCTACTACACATAAAAAATACACGTATTGCCCCTGTGCATCACCCAAGGATACTTTGTGTCAAGTTAGGTTGAAATTGGCCCAGTGGTTCTTGAGAAGAAGTCGAAAATGTGAAAAGTTTCCGCACACCCGCACGACGACGGACGACAACAGATAGCAATAGGTCACCTGAGCGACTCAGGTGACCAAAAAACAAAAAACAAAACAAAACAAAAACAAACAAACAAAAGTAAGAAATAAACGATCAAAGAAATTAATCGGGCAATAAGCAATTCCATTTCATCCGAAGTTCACAAACTTTGGAATATAAACTAGTAAACTACAACGTACCTGTTCAGAAACCGCTCTGAACAGAGAAAACCCATCTCTGGCAATTGGTTTCCTCCACAGACCGATTGAGGACAGGAACTCGTCCATTGCACCTTCTATACATTTTGTGTGTTTTCTCATGTCTGAAGATCACGGTTGTATTTGATCCCCGATCACATAACGGTAAATATTCCGTGGAAAGAAAACCGCGAAATTAGCACGTGCAATTGACAATCCTAGACGTAAAGTCACGTGACATCAAAGCGATCAAATCTAATGCTGTCGGTTCTGAGGAAACAAGTTAAATTCATTTTGGTTGCCGAGAACCTCGCCAACAACAGGCTCAGTCTCTCTCTAGCCCTCTCTCTCTCTCTCTCTCTCTCTCTCTCTCTCAAGCATTTTCCCACGAACCATGCAAAAGATCTCCACAAATTTCCAAAATCTCTCTCTCTCTCTCTGATTAAGCATTTTCCAACGGTCCATGCAATGCATCTCCGTGGATTTCCAAAACACTGAAATTAGATCAAGCAGGAGGTATATACTCCCCTCCCTTCTCTCCAAATAAAGATTTTCAGGGGAAAATGTCAAATTTATGAGTTTGCACCCCCAACCCTTCCTAAGGTCAAATACAATGTACGTAATAATATGCTATCTCATGTATCTCTCAGCGAAGAAAAGATTTTATGTTTCTTTTTTTTGGCGATTTTTTTTTATTTTGGCTTGCCATATTTCTGTCGTGGGATTTTTTTCTAAATAAGAATGGAGGAGGATTCACATATTTCCGCTTTACTGCTTTTACAATGTCATTACCTATGACGTATAAGTGGAAAAGTCTTTAGGTGTATCCTTCTGTTTCGACACTACTCCACCACAACCTCCGTCGGTGCGCCGACTGGGGTGACCCACCTGGCTCTCCATCAATGCTACTCTTTCAGTGATTGCCAGGCCCGTAGGAAGCAATTTCAGTTGGGGGGGGGGGCACAGCTATACATTTTCAGTTGGGGGGGGGGGGGGAGGAGGCACTGTCAACTACCAAAATTCCTTGACAAGCAAAACAAAAGGGGAAAAAAAGGTCATCAGGCGTTTTTATTGAGGGGGCAAAACATTAATTCTACGATAAATGGACCAATTCAGAATTTAAAACATGAAAAAAAATTATTGTTTCAAAAAGCAAAATGAACATCATTATTCTCTAAAGGACATATCAGTGAACTTGAAAACAAAGAATTGTCCACAAATCTGGTATCGTTAACTTTTTACAACAATTTCAATATACCATTGATTTTAAGGTAATGTTACGGAAGTTAATGCTTGATCAAGTCTTATTATTTTTTTATATAAAGCTGAATTTGACCAATTTGCAATTTTTCGTTTCTGATGTTCAGTACAGAATGCTAAAGTATGATTCATGAAGTCTCATGAATCCGAAATTAAATCAAATTTGCGAGAAAAATATTGTTACGGAAGTTAATCGTTACGGAAGTTAATTCCCAGCAATAAAAGTTAAAATCTGTTCAATAGTTAAAATCAAAGTTTTACGATATTAAACAAAAGTATGAAGCATTTCGCCCCCAAAATGATAAAAAAATTTATTTCTTTATTGCAAAAACTTTCCTGATTTACCGTTACGGAAGTTAAATTTTTAAGAGAGACAACTGTTTTTGTCTAATTCATTTTGTTATGTCGAAAATGCAATTGTCTAAAATAGCTGACTCGCAACTAGAATCGATGATATAAGGTTCCGTGGTCACTTTCAGATAAAATTTCAGAATGAATCAGCATTTAAATTTCAGATTAAAATTTAAAACAAAATCATTACGGAAGTTAATCTATTTTAAGCGACAAGCTATGATTTAGCATGAAAGGAGATCCATGCATGCATTTCTTTGCGAGAAGTGGTTTGATTTCTTTTTATATAGGATAAAAAAACTTTTTTTAACATTCATTGCAATCTATTCGAAACGATTTTACGGCTGAAAATTTCATCTTGAAATTTGTAAATAAATGAAGCGACATTAAGACTTGCAGTGGAATACGTTTTTCAACAATACATTACTTTCATATCAAAACTTTAACTGCATATATATCGGTAAATATTTACAAAACCACGATTCTTAAATTTATAGTTTAGATATTACAACGGTAAATTTGTAAGCGACATAAAAAAATCTTAATTGGTCATGTTGAAAAGCATATAGTAGCTATGTTTTCTATAGTAATCTATATATCGGCAAAATTATTAGGGGGCACCCCCCGTGCATCTTTACATCATACATGTAGAGTCAGACAACAGATTCTTCAATATAAATGAAAGTCGGAAATTTTCTTATCTTGTGATTGATCATCAACAAAATTACCTTGTTAAAAATCACTCTAATTCTACACACAAGTACCCTAAAGTTGATATTAAAAGGATATTAGAATTCCTCATTGATAACATTTATGTAGTCTTCGGAGACCAGGGTTTCCAACAAACTGTTGGAATTACGATGGGCACAAATTGTGCTCCTTTATTAGGGACCTGTTTTTATATTCCTATGAAGTAGAATTTATTCAAAAACTTCTACTTGAGAAGAAGAAAACACTTCCTGTGGCCTTCAACTCGACTTTTAGATATATCGACGACGTTTTAGCAGTTAAAAACAATTCCTTCCATCCATATGTCGACTCGATATATCCCAATATATAAACTTGAAAATAAAATAAAATCACAGAGTCTGCCACATCTGCATCATATTTGAATGTTTTACTAACTGTAGACAATAAGGGTCAAGTAACAACTAAATTGTATGACAAACGAGATGACGTCAGCTTTCCCATCGTCAACTTTCCTTATTTATGCAGTAAAATTCCGCTATTACCTGCGTATGATGTTTATATCTCCCAGTTTAGTATGCTCCGAGTACGATCAATTTTTAAACCGAGATAGGCTACTGACAGATAAGTTGACGTTACATGGATTTCAACAACCTCGTAAAATTTCGTAAATTCTATGGTTGTTATAATGACCGTGTTAGCAAATATAACCTATCACTGGGTCGTATTTTGGCTGACGTGTTTCATACCAATTGTTAGGCCTTTGTTTTTTGCTAAATTTGACTACGGAATGTTCGGTCTACCTGATCAATAGTTATACATAGGGTTCACGGTGGGTGTGACCGGTCAACAGGGGATGCTTACTCCTCCTAGGCACCTGATCCTACTTCTGGAATTTCCAGGGGTCCATGTTTTATGCCCTGTTCACAGATTTGTATTGTTTGTTGATTTTTTTTGTTTTTGTTTTGTTTTTGTTTTTGTTTTTTGTTTTTGTTGTTGATCGATCACTGTTCGTTATCTTCACCCTTTTCATTGCATTAACCTCAACCTGTTAAATTCAAAAACAACATATGATAGCAGTATCCTTCTTCTCTTTGTTGTCCAGTTTCGCTGTTGCATGGTGTACACTTTTCTATGGCCAGTACCCAACTACGTGTATCTACAGTACATGTATATCCCAGTATGCTTCAGACAGGACTCTGCCTCCTCTATAGTTTTCTTAACTGCCCACTTCCACCCTGGTCCTGGTTCCTACCCTTGCTGTCCGCCCTTTCTCGTCATTGCTATTCTGGGGCATCAGGTTCTTATTTTGAATGTTCGTAATATCACCTTCCAGCAAGTATCTGTTTGCTGTATTATAATTATAGATTGAGAGTTCAATTAGTACAAAGTATAGGTACATATGGCCTCTAGTGGAGGGGGGTCTTTGAGGCCAAAATGCTTTACATGTAATCCAGAGATTTATTTTAATTTTTTAAAAGTGAAGGCATAATATGTAATTACCAAAAAAAAAAACAAACAAACAAACAAAAAACAAAAACAAAAACAAAACACCATTCAATTGTAATATTTACTTGTGGGGTGGCGCCCCCCATTTTTTATTGGAGGAGGGGGGTGTTCGGTGGTCCCAGGCTAAAAGTTCAGGCATAAGTTTTCTCTTGACCATTCATAGGCGCTCCCCAAATAATGTCAAATGTATATATACAAGTGTATGGTTTATAGTACAGGGGGATTTCAGGACCTTTACTGTTTAAGTATATGTACATGTACACTATATAAGATAAGATAATGGTTTATGACTAATCCAGTGCTCATAATGACATAAAGTGAACAACATTAAGAAGGAAAGGCTTAAAATATAGGTGGAAGAAAGAAAAATATAAACATGTACAAGTAGACATATGACCCTTGCATATATATATTGTGGTAGGGGGTTTCAACATTTTAATGACAATACATGCATCTGCTTAATGCTTAAGAGTACAAAAATTGAAATGTACATAAGTAGTAGAGATGGGGAGCGCCTAGGTATAGAAGAATAGATCTATATACATGTATATATTCATTCGTCGTTTACGAATTTAGATGAGCGCTTATGGACGCACTTGTTTTAAATATAATATCAATTGGATGGAAATATAAATTTATATAGGCCCTAATTATGTTTGTCGGTTTTCTGTAAACTTACTTTTTCCCATACTTTGATTTTTCTCCGTATTTTCCGGCTATGATTTTAAAATTATGCGGAGAAATGAAGCATTTTATAACACTCAATTTGAAAATAAGGGAAAAAGTAATTCAAATGGTCAGACATACTTTTAAATATCGGGATCGGGGTTCGTATAATTCAGAATTGTCAACAAAATACTCAAAAACGACAAAATAGCAATATTGTGAATATATATAGCCTCTAATAGCCTGAATAGGTTGAAGATGAAATCCACCTCTAGAGTTTGTAACAAATGTTTTAGGATACTTTAAGAAGAAGAAGACTTTTTTTTTAAATATGTAGTAATCTAAATTCTGATTCGAAAGCTTTTGTTTTTTAGACTAAGCAAAAAAACTTATTGATGGATTTCACTGTTTAATGTGGGTTGGGATATATTTTTATCATGTTGATGTTATGATTTCTGAGTAAGAAGAGCTGTCAGAGTGTTATGTAGCATGGACAAATTATCCAGAGCCGTGGAGTATGCAGAGGTATGTATAAGCACTATAACTGGCACACATCAGGTCCAGTACAAAGACTATTTCTACCTACGTAGCTATTAATAACTACCTGTAACTTTTTGATTTACTTACATTTTGTGGCCGAACAGTGCAACATGGTGAGTACCACAT